AGCACCTCAGACTGAGGAAGTCTCTTGGATGAGAGACGAAACGTTTCTATATTTTTTTGCTTTTTTTTTTGTTTTGTTTTTTTGAATGTCCAGAGGACCAGAGTGAACTTTTTTGGATCACTAAGATTAGAAACAACTTGACCAAAAATGATACAGAAAAACTGGTTCATGCATTTGTCACGTCTAGACTGGACTATTGCAATGGTTTATTGTCTGGGTGTCCAAATACTTCTTTAGAATGTCTTCAGTTGATCCAAAATGCTGCTGCCAGAGTCTTAACTGGAGTTAGTGGGAGAGATCACATCTCTCCAGTTTTAGCTTCTCTCCATTGGCTCCCTGTCAAATACAGAATAGAATTCAAAATCTTACTTCTAACCTACAAAGTTCTCAACAACCTAGCTCCATCTTATATTACAGATCTTATTGTTCCATATTTTCCTAACAGAGCACTTCGTTCTCAGACTGCAGGTTTACTTGTGGTTCCTAGAGTTTACAAAAACAGAATGGGAAGAAGATCTTCCATTTATCAGGCTCCTCTCTTGTGGAACCAACTTCCAGTTTCTGTCCATGAGGCTGACACATTGTCCAGTTTTAAGACTGGGATTAAGACTTTACTTTTTGATAAATCCTATAGTTAGGGTGGCCTTGGGTTTCCTGAGCTATTCCTTAGTTATGCTTCCTTAGGCTGACTGTTGGAGGACAAACTGACCACATTTCATCAAATGAATAATTTGTATTTGTAACTGTTTCTATCTTAACATGTGGGGGTTTTTTTTATCTGTCCTCCTATTAAGCATAGGTGGTGCCAGGGGGGGTACCAGGGTGGTGCTAATGCTCCCCTTGGAAATATCATAGCACCCCCAAGAAAATATCAGATTATTTTCTTTTTCATCTAAGTTAATATTCTTTAATATGTGGTTGTTGTGATATTTTCCTCACAAACATAACCAACTTCAAAAAACAATCAATGATTATATTGAGTTTTTTTTTTTTTTTTATCCAATCCCGCAACAGGAAACGAACCTCCAAACCGGAAGTGAAAATTCAAGTTACTGCAAGGTCAGTAAACATTTGAAAAGTGCACAAAATGCAAAAAATTGACTATTTTCTATTCCCAAAATTGCCTAAAATAGAATCAGAGAAGAAGGATTTTTTGAAAGCAGACTGCAACCAACAAATAAAGAATAATTTGGAAGAAGGGGATCAAACCTACTGCCATCCTTACACGTCTATGGAGAATGCTGCTAACACTGCTAGCACTGGACAGCTGCAGGATGGAGCCAGCACGTTCAGCTACCTTTGGGCAGTTCCTGGCAAGTCCTCTTCATGGTCTATCCTGGTCTGATCCACCAGAGAACCCCAGAAAGACGAGTGACCTGGTGCCATCAACACTGGCCCAGTAAGGAGTAGAAACTGGTGACATGATGCCTTGGTCTGGTTATGCCATTTTTAGCTGATGCAACTTGGTAAATCATTTCCTGGTTTGCAGTGAAAATAAATTACTTATCTGATCACATTAAACAACTTCTTTCAAATGAAATCAAAAGTAAACTATTTATTAAAATAGTCAAACTTTGTCTAAATTCATGCATGTATAAAACTGAAATAATTCCTGCTCAAAGAGTCAATTTTGCCTTAGATAAGAGAAATAAGCCAAACATTATTATTGTTTGTTTATTATTGTTGTTGGTTTTTACTTTGATTATTTTTGTAATAAAACTTCAAAGACAACTTTGGCCTCTTCATTCAGATGAATAATCATTTGTTCTGGTCTAGAACTCCCTGTAATGAACAGATTCTACTTCAGTGATTGATTATGATCATTAAAGGGTGAATATATTAAAATGAAGTTGTTGTTGGTCAGTAAACTGATCAGCTGGTGCCCCACTTTAATGAATGAAACATAAATAAAACAAATGTAGTAGCGTTAAGATGGAAAAGGTGTCACCCTTCTTCCTCCATATCACCCTTTGTTATTGCTACAAGTTTCTGCTCTGAGGCTGTTAGACTCATGGATCCCTAGTCAGGATTATCACTGTGAACATTACTGTGAAAAAAAAATTACTGTGAAAAAAATCACTGTAATGCCAATTCCTCGTTGATATGTGCTGCTGAGTATCCATGATTCAATTCAATTAAATTCAGAAATACTTTAGTAGCCCCTGGGGGAAATTATATGTTGTTGTAGCTCATCATACTGGTTTCATTAAAGAGTTGTTCTAGAAGCTTATGGCTGTGGGCAGGAAGGATCTCTTGTAGTGGTCTGTCCTACAACAGATCTGA